CCCGTTCTCCAAAGAGGGGATTTGCTGTAAGTTTGAAAAAAAGCTATATGAGTGTGCTTGCTGGAAGTGCAGCCTCTCGCTTCATCACTTTTCACTTGAGAGTACTTGCACCTGCCTAAGGCGTTTTATAATTGTAGGAAATATGGACTTTCTACTGACCCTTACAAGAAAATCCCTTTGGAATCGATTTTCTCGTTTCGCCGTTCATACTTTTTCAGCCCTTCGCTGACATCAGCAACCATACAGTCACCTCACAATTAGCCTCAGTACTTTATCACTGAAACATCAACAAAAAAAGGCGCGTTATACAGTACATATGTTTAAGGGCAAGTGAAATATGACATGACACGTGAATGATAACTGGAACTATAACATTCACAAGCAATTGATAACGACTAGAAAACGCTAAGCTCGAATCCTTTCGAACAAAAAAAAAACGAGAAGAAGAATGAGAAAATTCTCTAGGAAAATCCGAAGATGACAGACAATGTCAAATGTCATAAAAACACTGTAACAGTAATATCTGAGCATGAAAATAATCAATAATGATCATCGGCTAAAGTACGTTCTTCCATGGCGCCAGCTGTGACTCATCGATAATTATCGTCTAGATGATGTATATAGTGATGCCTAGGATAACCTCCATAGATTGGAGCCGTTGAAGAAGATCCCATAGCGCTCATCGATGATGAGTACACGGAGTAAACGTCCAGTGATGTCTGCTTGAAAAATTCATATATAATAAGTAAATCAATAAGAATATTTGCTGGTCCTACTATCTCCTAGATTTGTTTAAATTTTGTGATTAACTTCGCAGTCAGGTATCTCTGCACACGCCGAATGAACTTCAAAAATCTTCTCAGCAACGAAAATAAGCCTAGCACTTTCGACCTATCATTACACCCTTTCAACCTCTTGTTTTTTTAATGAAGCCTGTTATTCCTGTTCTGGACTTTAAAGCAACATTTCTGAATCCGGACAAACCTTCCTCCTCCGGAAAAGCCTATACCCAAGGTAGGCTGCTACACTAGCCGATGCAATGCAGAAAATCAACAGCATGACTATGAAAAGCATTAGCGGAACTGGAATCCGTGATGTCGACACCAAACATTGCTCCGTGGACCTTGATGACACTGAAAATTGATAATGATAGAGTATTTGTCTGGATTCTCAAATGAAAAAGAGTGGCAGTTGGAAGTCCCGAATGGCATGACGAGCCGCTCTCATAACAATGGAGTAACTTTGGGCAACCATCTAAAGCATGCCACGGTTTGGGACAGCTAGCTATGAAAGGGGTTTTCTGCTTAGCTGAGTACAAGCTCCCAATGGCGGTGTAAGAATGAATGACCGACCCTGATTCCCAGTCATCCACCATGACACTGGTAAGCGATTCCCATGCTTCTGCTCCCTCATTTAGAATATGCCCGTCCATGATTAATATAGTTAGCGCTGAAAACTTGCACCTAACCCCGCTTTACTGGGACCCGGCATGAGTTTGAGAGAGTCGCCTATCAATGTCATGAAGAAAAGTGACAATCAGTGCTTTCAATTGGTCGTCAAGCGAAACGCGTGGCGTGCCTACACTTACAGCGGTTGCAGTAGCGTAACAGTTCCATTCCCTTCCCAGTTGGATTCTATCTATACTATTAGCAACCGGATTGTGGATGTGATCAATGAGCCGATACCCCATGAACTTCAACATTTGATACCAAGCGATCAATTGGAGCGTTCCCGCTCCGATTGGACCTATTCATCGATTAGGCATGGGGCAGAATGGTAGCTCTTCAACCTAGGAATACAAATAAGCACCTTCTTCTGTTTCCATGTCGTCCAGAATTGTTAGTGACTCTCTCACTGAGACTTGATCGTATACGTCATCTTTGCTAAAAGGCGGATTCACTGCTCTCTTATGACGAAATCGAAGTCGTTCTGCCGTCAAATTCGAATTTGAAATACGTTTGAAACAGTTCTGAAATGGGAAATTTAATGGAATTTTATGATTCTCTGCTTGAAACGGGAGTTTTATAGCCAAATATAGAACATTTCTAAAATTCAAAGCGTTGGTTAGAATACATGGAAGAAGCAAGGCTACACAAATCAGGGTTCCCGGGCACGATGGGGCATGAAGAATGATTTCACGAACCCCAGTCAAGAACCAAACTTTGTTTTTGAGCATGATGAAGCTGAAAATTACCAATTTACGAGTTTTCACTTATGTGCAGCTCTACCCACCCTCTTTCAATATTATTATGCATGAAAAATAACTTGGTGGTACCTATTTTCTCCTTTCTAACCAGGTGCCTTACCAGAGGAGATCAGCCGAACCTTCCGGTACATCTTTATTGGGCAGTATTGGTTTGATTTGTCGTAATGGTTTGAAAAAAAGGCTTGAATTTCCAATACAATAAAGTAAGTGAAGATAAAGACTGTTTCGTAATACTCTTTTCCGATTTGAAGTAAATTATAGCAGTTGTGGGGCTCTTTCGAGGTCTGGCCCACACCGAACTCACCTGAACACATTCCGATCCAACGAGGCACACCTGTACCGTGCACTGAGCAAAGACGGTACTTTGATTTCCAAAACGGAACGTTTTAAACTTGGAAAAATAGACTTCCTCGTTGACATTTGCCAATGGATCGATAATCTCGGACATTTCATGTACTGGACAACTGAAACGGAAAAAATTAAAGATATGAGCTTTGAAACTTCCTTTTGATCTCTGTACTCACCTGCTTTGAACAAAAGTGAGATGTCGGGCATCAGGTGATAGCATATCCTCACGATCACTGAACATGCACTCTTTTGGCGAGATACCGTGGTACGCCTCTGAAAACAAATTACCGTAATGTGCTACCGTATGTCATTCATTTTATCAAGATCAGAGCCTACTTACTATCGGGTGTCAGAGCAACGTAAAATTCTACGGTGTCGCCGAATTTCGCTGTTCTCAGGGGTCGTCCGTCAGTGCTTCTGAACATCATTTCAACTTTCGGTTTTGGTTTGCCTCCAGTTGATGCCAAAACTTCATGGGCCCTGGAAAATGGGAATTTTCATCCCGAAACCTGAATGATCAAGCATGGACTTAGGTAGTACTAACGTCGACACATCACTGTATCTGATTGTCTGAACACTTCGTGTGTAAAGACAGAACACGTGATTGATCCGGATTACTTTGGATATACTAGTATCCACATTGTCTTCAAGCGCTATTGTAGTCTCCGCCGTTCGGTAGTTTGGTTCCTAGAGTAGCTGCTTAATCCAGGAGTAAACAATTCATCCCTAATGGGGAATCAATCAATACCCATCAATATCGCTTGATATTGATGGTCAACAGATGCTAACAAACCAGGTCAGCAAGGTGGACGTCACAATGTTTTCCGTAAGGTATCGTCAGGTTGTAATTTTGTTGCCCTTTGTCGTTTTTTAATGATGTTCCGCAGGGCACAAGTGTCTTGTGACCGTAGACATACACCTAAAAAGTATTTGAATTACTCTAATACCAGGTGACTAGTACAGTTCGAATCTCTTCATGTCTACGAGTAAGTTACTCATTAACTTAGGAAGGTTGACTGACCACAGGTTGCGATTTCGGGTCGTTCATCCACCGGGCAATGTCTGGATCCGACTTGTTGAGCATGACTGTGAGGCTTCCCGACGAACATGACACCTCGTCCACTGGAAAGAAAGACCTTACTGTACTCATCCATACCGGCTTGACAGTAATTTATTTGGAAAGAAAAAATAGTACTACTCTTGAACCTTAACTCTAGTTCTAAACAGTAAGATCTTTGATGGTGGGTGCTACGTCCTTACACGCCCCTACCCGAGATTACGCAATTGGGATGCACTCTATTTAACGCTACGATACCCTTAGCGCAGTGCAATTACGTACGGAGGCGGAGCTAACGGGTTCAATGCACTTATTGGTGGATTGTTGGCAATAAACCATGTTACGGTCGCGTAGTTTGAAGTGCAACCAATGAGCAACGGGCTTAAGATCACGATTTATATTAATCTTGATATTGTTAGCACACTCATCGTTCCCACTGCTCAGAACCTGGGCTACATTTATCAGTAGGTGGACCCTCGTCCTCTTCCAATCATTCAGCCATGCAGTAATTACTTAGAAGTGAACAGTATGAGCTCCGTAGCAGCAACATGCGTGTTCGTTGACTTTCCATCAACTTGTCAAGCGCAGACAGTTCTTAACAACTAACTGCCTGACTAGTAGAGAGCATTGAGATCACCTTCGGAAATAGCACCCGGAGCCCACGTGTGATAAGCTAAGCGCTACGTTTGTTGGACTCCTCCATAGTTTGTGATTGGTGGTTAACGAGCACCAATGAGGTAATGCGCGGAGCATTGTCATCCCAGCCGGAAATTTGTTGAAGTCCTTNAGATCACCTTCGGAAATAGCACCCGGAGCCCCCGTGTGATAAGCTAAGCGCTACGTTTGTAGAGCTCCTGCAAAGTTTGTGATTGGTGGTTAACGAGCACCAATGAGGTAATGCGCGGAGCATTGTCATCCCAGCCGGAAATTTGTTGAAGTCCTTTAGGACTTGCAGTTGAAGACCACCTCAGTCGCTGAAGACTCTGTTCGGCACGTGTTTGGAGGGCAGCACTGACCAAAAATGGCACTATTACACAGGGTATCCAAACCGACATAATTAAATTCTCGTCGAGATTGTCTATAAGATTCAGTTCGACTCTAGAATTTAGCATTGACTGCTGCTCATCATTGAGAAGGGTCATGATGTCCCTCACTCAGCAAAATTGCAGACTGCAAATGTCATCGAAAAACAGAACAAGAGAATCAACTTCGAAGGCGGTTTGTAGCCCTGACTCTGGGAAGTTGCACAGACTGCAAATAACTGAAATTCACTTACACATTTGGATACACTACTCTCGTTTCATTTCGGATATTCTGCATATCCCGAAGTTCCCCTCAGATGGAGCAGAATCAGGTTCTTAGATCCCTGACACCGATTCACTTTACTTTATCCCTTTTGTTTATAGGAGGTCCCAAGCTGATTTATTATGCATGCGATTACTCTTATGCCAACCATAAAGGATGACTTCCATCACTGAAAAACACTCCTTCCGAAGGCCGCTCAGCTTTTTCGTAGAGCTATAAGGCCCCGTTCTCTTATGAAAGGGACATCCGATTTGATTTGCAGTGGGCGTATAATTCTCCTTACAAAATTACTCAAAACCAAATTGAAGTAAAGTTCTCCTAAAAGGTTTGAAAAACAGCTCCCTACGTTCTTTGTAAGCAAATTGAAATCATATAACAAAAGTTCACTAGTTTTCATTGTGAAAAATAGAAAATTTTGGTTTTCCTCACCGAAGCCGTCGGTATGTGCTTGTCGAAGAAGACCAAATAGTACTATTAGTATCATAAATTCTGAAATAGTGGATCAAATAACAGGTGATGGCAGGAAAAAGTACGGATTCATCGAATCGGACCATGTAAATAGACACGCTCATGGATTTAATGGTCCGATCAAGATTCATGATAAGAGCCTTTCCCTCACTAACAAAAAAAGCAAATTTGCTGAATTTGTATAACTGGTATATCCCAGCTACCAGTACGACTTGAAAGGGCTTTTTGAGTGGCCATCAGTTGGAATGACTTCCTTCGGGATGCAAAAAGACGGTCGCAGTCAACTTGGACTTCAAACATTGACGTCAGTCATGGCGAGCATTAATACTTTCGAATAATTTTCAAACACATCTTGAACTTGTACTAGATGAAGGCAAATGGAAATTAAAAGAGTATAAAATAAGAGAAAAATTACTGCAGCATGGGAAAGAGCTGGAAGTGCGAGTAGCACAATCGGACCGTTGCTACACCGAAAATTGATGAGACAGAATTTTACTGGTTACTGAAAAACCAAGGTATTGTAGGGTGAGAGACCGCTTCCTGCCAATTAGATCGTCGAGCTCATCTTGTTTTGATGAGCCGAATAGTAATTTATGGTAGAGATTTGAGCGGCTTTGTTAACGGGGTAGAAAGGAGGGCTATGGTGGCGGCCTGGCTATATTGTCGGCTAACGTTGGCTAACGATGGTCTCCAGCAAAAGGTGATTTAGCCCGGTCACTATGGTGAAAGACGGCCAGTGTCGCGATAAAAACCCTTATACGAGCACACCTGTCGCTCTCGCTAACGAGCCCCAACAGGTGAGAGCCATGCAGTGACCGTCGTAACCTCCTTTGACCCTTTGAATTCCTTGAAATTTGCGAAGCGGAAACGAGCTCCTTATTGGATTTGTGCCAAGATTTACTGTATCTAATAATTTTATTTGATAATACGGCACTTAGTTCTCAAAACGACATGTTATTTACAATATTCAACATTCAAGACATTATATCTTTGTATACCACATATTTACCAATATTTTCAATATTGTTAAATATGTGCTATACGAAGACATGCCAAGGCTGGCAGAGCAACTGATGGAGTAATCTAGTCACGATAAGCACGTTTATACTTATGAAAAGGGACTGAAGAGTCAGCGGACTCTGCAACGTCGCGGAATAGGAGCCAAGGAAAAAAAAAAGTTTAGACGGTCACAAAACCTTCGCTCGGCANNNNAAAGAAGCCCTCTCAATTGTAGAAATGTTAACCTCATCCTATTGAAGTCCCTGTTTTCCCCCACTAGAGCTTATTAACTATTGCGCTGGATCAAATCATTTTCAATCATCATCTGCGGACTTCAAAAAAAAAACTCCGGAAGGATCAAATCCTCAGGGCCGCTCTTGAAGACGGATCAGTTTGTACTCGTACTGTACTACTGTATGCTATCTAGATGGATCTCCCTAAAACCAGCTTTCGGCCAAAAATGGGTCCCGATTCCTGGTTTTCTGGCTAAAAAATCCTTTTGCTCGCTGAGGATTTTCTTTTGGCTCAATCTGAAGGGTGTCAAAATCAGTTCGATACAAGGAAGTAAGAGCTCTGTAAGGTATATTACTGCTTAGATACAAGTACTATCTTCAGAGAAATAAATAGTGAATGTATGTGGGATGGATTCTAGAATAGCCAGAACAGCGATAAAAGCTATCAGTTCGGTTGACCATGGCAGCAGAACGAAATCACTGGTTCAGGGGCGGAGCAACCGGTCTATCCAGCGTGTGAGGTCAATACGGATCGAAACTGTAAGCACCACGTAATCAGCAGTATATGCCAAGGTCAAGAGCGTGACAATTATTATTCGAGCCAACGCCGAGTTCCGACAATCATACCTTTTATATTAAATAGTAAATCAATCATTCGCCATACTGTAGTGTTGTGTATCACCCGCCAACCAGATTGCCAAACAGACATTGAAACAATTAATAACAGGACAGGACAGTTACAAATGAGCTGTACCAATACATGGGAAAGGCTCCCCTACAGTATCCTTCAATAGGTCCACTGCTTAGCGTTATTATCAGCTATCAATATTTAATTGAATTGGACTTACTTGAATTTTACCCAACCTGAAAACCAGTTATAACTTCTAGTCATGGTCCTCAGCGTGTCGAAAGAATCCGAGCAATAAATGTAAAAACTGAGAAAGAGCAGTTTTTTTTGAGATAGGGATAAACTCGTCCCCAACATTTACAGTTCCCCCGAAACCATACATGGGTTTCTCACACGGGATTCCCGTAACCGATTTTCGCTCTCCTTCTACTTTGAGGGGATATTGCGTAGCTTGATATAGGCAAATATGTATTCCGAGTAGTAATTGTCTACTTTGATTGTGGCTACCTGGGAAAAGTCTATTTTCCCCTTTTCAGCAGTTACTGCCTTCCCACACCAAACGCAAAAAAAGGTTTTTTTGTTCAGACTTAGCACTGAGCAGCTCCAATAATATCAGGACAGTATTAGCTACACTGAGAGCTAACTTTTATCCCGTCCAAGTCCTCTTCTGAAAGTGGATATATGCCTGGGATCATTTTTCCGGCGCTTCTACCGCAGTAGTCAACTTAACTAATAAACTACTCAATGCTCGTACCCTTTCAGAACCTTGTACCGCTTGGTGTTGGCAAAATAATTGCGTCGAAACAGTGGAGTGGAGGATATCCGCTTCATAAAATGCCTCCGTAACGGCGCCTTGATATTACAGTAAATCCGGAGAAAAGGGATACTGCCAACGTTTTCCGACTTCCAATAAACTTTACGAGTTTTCGGTGACTCCTTTTTTGCATGGGGTTTGATTTCCCAAACAGAGAAGTCCGTCAGAGATCGAATCTTGCTTTTGGGAACAGGGTAAGGATTCTTCAATCACCGTCAGGGTATTACATAGCGTACGTGATCGATTGCAACAAGTTACGCAAAGTTCTCTACCATTTAGTTTCTAATGGGTACGGAAGGTACATCTAGAAGCAGCTCTGGGCTTCGATTTTTTCACCAGCTCTTTCCGATTGAGTTACTGAAAGACTCCGCTGCGCCTTATCCCTGCCCCTTCGATCTGCAATTGAACCCTCTCCGAAAACTCGAGTGCGGAATGCCATCAAAAATGGCTGACTGGGACGAGACGTCACAAGAAAAAGGTTCTGATATTTGACTGAAAGCAAAACGAAATGCATTAAGGTAAAACCACAAAACACGTCACGTTGGCGATTCAAAAGGAAATCTGAGTGCTGAGCCAGAAATTTCCATGACGTCCACCGCGACCGCACACCTTTCAGCCTTCCCTAATCGCCTCCTCCTGTTTCTGAGGTTTCGTAGGGCAAATTGAAATCGACAGAACAGTGTTGGGAAAGGTACGATCGAATTCTCGTGGCCGATGATCCAAAACGGGCATTTTTTGGGGTTGATGTCCACGTACGACCGAGAAGAGACTCTGAGGAAGCTTAGGCATAGTTACATTACTTGCAATGTCTTTGTGATTACTCAAGTTGCAAATACTAAGATGTACAAGTTTACACTTAAGTTTACAGTGTACATTTGTGAAGGTACATATATTCCTTTCTATGAAAACTCAAGAGCTGCATGATGTATCCACTGAGAAAAAGGGTCCGTTAGTTTGATGGATCACAATTTACCAGCGGCATTCCGAGATATTGGAGAATTACTCCGAAAAGACTGTTTCTCGTTCAGATCTTACTGTTACCGTTTCAGAATCGTTTACGATCCACTTATCGCCTCTGTCTGTAAGCCCCCGCTAATCAGGCTCAAGGGTTTTTTCTTGCATATCTCACCTGCCCTTTGTAGCAATCATGTGCTTTCCCCTTGAATACGGTTGCGGTACTCAATCGCAATTACTCGTATGTTAATTCCGCATTCGCGTTGTGCACCTGGCTCTTGACCACAGCATTTCGTAGGGCTATCAATCCCACGCTAAATGAGGGCAAAACGGCCGGAATTAGCACCGCAATTGACGGCTTTGACCAGCACACCCGTAACATCTACAGAATTTCATGCTCTGACGTCTGAGGATTGAAAGAGACGGGCAGTTGGAGTTGTGGGGTGACCGGCTTCACTTGAGCTCAGCCTTTTTCACCGGCTTACCACCTACATTTTTAACTAAAATACCAAAAGTATGCCTTGTTAGCTGTCGGTCAGGGCACGCTTTTTGGTATTACCATCAGCAGGCGATACGTTATACCAAAAATATACCAAATTGAGTACAAGTTGACTTACAGCTTACTTATACAGTACTATATTTCGCAACCTAGCAACCTCATTCGACACCTCATATATATTACTAAACTATTTATGTGAAGTGAGATCGAACTTGTGTCACCAAATGGGGACCAGTTTGAACGGGAGATGTCTGCTTTGGACTACTACTACACATTGGCGCTGAAAAGTATTTTTTAAACTTTATTATATGTCTGTTTCATAAGGGCTCCCACAGCGGAAGTCTGCCTCGGCGGGAAACGGGCAGCAGGAACGGTTTTCTGTAATCGATTCGCCGCACGCGGCTGTCGCGGATCGTTCGCTTCGCCGTTATTACTACTCCAGCGTTCTTCATACAGCTAAATCGATATACAATCCTTATTTTAGGCATGATTCCACTGTTAACTCCTTTGTTCCTGCATTTCTCACCTGTTGCTGCATTCTGCTATATTCTTTCGCGCGCGGCGTCCCTCTCGCCGCGAAGCGACCATTTCGATCCCACTGCACCACACCCGCAGGCAGTAGGTTATCATTAGGGCGCTAGATAGCGCTCTTCCCAAATGGGCGAAAAAGCGAGATAGGGAGAAGACCCCTCTTCGATGACCAGCAAGCGGCCCCTTATTCTTCTTCTTCTTCTTGCTTTCTTTACAACATATTTATTCACAGGGCTGTTCAATGTTTATTCAACCATATTAAAATAAACAAAAGACATTACAAACAATTGTAAAAGGACAACCAGTTTTTGCTCCCTTCTTCTAATTCACAGACTATTTGTTGGAATTCATTCCCGTTAAAGCTCATCCCGTTGGGTTATGTAGATGTACCATCACAAATGCTTTATCTTACTCCGGAACGATTTTCTAGTACTCTGTAAGGTCACATATTTCGAGATTCAGAAGCAATTTTGTAAATTACAGAGTATCACCCTTGATGTCGTCTCGAAGAAGACCAATACATATTTTAGCAAGCAAAATAACAATGTAGTAGTACTCTACTTAGTAGATATGTCATTGGCTTGGCCAGCCAGCCTTTCGCTGAAATCATATTCGCTTACACAAATAAAGTACTATTCACACGCAATAAAACATCAATTTTCAGATCTAAAAACAGTCATAATCGGGACCGTGAAAACCGGTTTTTGATGATTAAATTACTATCGAATCCTCGTCCACGCTGCAGCTTCTATGGAGGTCATCGAGTTCGCCAGCGTGTCCATTGGCATTGTTCACGACCTTAATGCGGAAATGTTTTTTTCAAAGGATCCAACAGGGATTGTACATTAAGAATGAGGGTCACAGGGGTCCTACATGGAATTACAGTAACATTGAATCAGAATGTTTGAACTGACTGAGACCTAGAGGTCCCTGTGACAAAAACTTTTTGCTCCCATTCTACCACCATTTTCCCTTCCCTCCGGTCTCCAGAAATTTTCATCGGCATGGGAATGCTCAATTCATTTTCGTTCAATCTTGTCTTTTCATACTCGACGACATTATGAGGTAATCATTTAAGCTGCCGAACTGTCCTAATGCCCTCCCATTCGTTCCACCCACCTCTCTCCCCTGTCCCGCTCCCGAACTTATAATTTCGGTTGATCCATAGCATACTACAGGAATACTCAGATTGGCTTTTAAAGACACAGTTCACGAAAAAGCTGGTTCCTGGATTGAATCTGTGGCCCCTAATAATAATACGCGGGCCATTGTCCTGCCGAAAAACGGCCTAGGCAGGGCGTAATAAGAGCTTCAATACTGGTTTGGCTGACGCAGACACTCAAAGTGGCCGTGTTATACCGACCTCGTTATTACTGCACTATTCACGCGACAAGACGAATAGTACATCTAAATAAGAGACGCAGACGGCTATCTCGTACAATCCCCTTTCTTGCTACTTTCTTGGAGTCTTATATTTCTTAAAATCCACCAATTTTTGCGCTTTTTCGCCTATTTTGCACCATAGCTTCCATTATTTCACTTGTGATAGATACCTCAAAATTATCGTGAACTGTGTCTTTGAACAAATCTGAACGAACACGCTCTGCTGCTTTGAGATTTACCATTATTTACTTGCCTACTGTCTACTACCAGTATTTGACGACACGGAGGAAAAAAACAAATTTCAAATTACATCTTTTGGCGGGCTACTCGATCGTACGATGTGGGGACTCGGCTGAATCAGTCGCTGAGCGGCTGTTGATACCGCAGATCGAGTAGTTGAGTCACGTGGGCACAGTGATGCTGAAACAACAAAAATGACCTCAAACCGGGTACTTAAAATGGAATCGATTGATTTCTCGGGTTAGTATAGGCGGAAATTATGGCAGGAAAAGCTTACGAGTGATGAGCCTCTTGGAACTTGCTGAATTTTGTTGTAAAAGATGTTTCTAACAAGTTTTCTAAGCCGTCGCTCTTATGACAAAGAGGAACGGATCGATTTACAGTCTTCTCTACAAGACAGACTTTGCTCGAGTCCTTTTCCAAAAATTTCAGATTCATCACTACGTTCTACAAGTTAATACGATGTCGTTAGTAAGTTCGACTCACGCTGATTGATCACCTCACTGCAGTCAGTTAATCGAAAAGCTGGAGCAGATTGTCCACCAGCACACCGTGTGTACTTTCGATCTGGAGCTTGATGGAGCTGAAACAGTAGAGTGTTGGCTGAACTTTAGAATAGGTAATATGATGTTTAGGAAAATTTATAAAAGCTGAGTTGGACTCTGAGAGTGTCATTCAGAAAAAATTACAATCATTATCAGCACTATGTTACGTTTCCAGGCGCCTAACCTTTTTTTTAAAGTAACAGTAAAATTTTTTAAAGTAACAGTAAAACAGATGGGTACTAAAAGCATGTGTATAAATAAATACATATATGATATAATAGGCTGAAGGTGATGTAGCGACATGTGCAGCACTATCCCACGCGCATGGTTTAGAATTCGAGTCCCTGAGCGATACTCGTCTAGACCAGCCAAGGCTAACGCCTCTGATAGGGTATGTAATTGGAATCAAACTCGTCTGGGAGGATGAAACGGCAATATTTCTCATAGTGGCCGGTCACCGCAAGTTCCCGTGTTCATCGATCACATTGTTATGCGAATACATCACTAAGATTTTGAATGGAAGTGGAATGCGTTCGAAAAAGCGGCGTTAACAAATCCCAAAAACGGGACTGATTTTCCCAAAAAGAGACGGGCTGGAGCCCAAAGATTTAATCCCCGTTCCCTTATACGCTATATGAGATAAAGACTTTTTATATACCTTATTATGTGATTGTTTATTTACAAACCGAATTTGAATGGGTAGAAAAGCGTCAGGAGCTACCGAAGATGCTTTTGAAAATTAGCGCTATTCATCGAAAGCATCAAAAAGACCATATAAGACTTTGACTGTACTCAGCCAAATAAAAGTTCATTCGTAGCTACAGTAATCGATGATGATTTTTAGTGCACTGTGTCTCACCTGTCTGTTTAGAAGACCATAGAGGATAAAATTCGAAGCGGAGTTGATGTAGGGTAGAGCGTGAACTCCATACATGAAGTATATAAACTTGAATGACGGCATTTCAAGCATTGCATTGGGATTGAAGATTTCTACGTATAGCGAATACAGTACAGACACCCAATATGGCGTCCTGAAATGATCAAATTTACATTACGCGAGCTGCTCCTGAGTAGAATTCAGAGGTACTGTATTGTAGTGGAATTCAGAAACGGAACGAACCAGCAGAGAAAGTGGAACAAGCAGATGGCTAGAGTGTATACTGCAATATGTCCAATTGGTATCTAAACAAAAAATTTACGTCAATGGTAGGTCATAACCGATCAATATTGCCTACTGTTTCTTGAGCCTAGTTGAGTTCTATCGAGTACCGCTACAACGAGTTAGTAATTGTTAGTCACCGCGATAAGTCTGCTTTAGGAATGCTTCACGGATCCTGATTGCAAACCAGATGCCCGAGCACTCTGTCGAGTTGGGAAAATGCAAGGAAAGGAAATGGTAATTGGAACTCGAAAACCGGTAATCCTAACTAAGGAGGGGGGTGGGGTATTTACAAGGACAGCTCTATCTTGATTTTTTCTCGAAAAAATGGTAATTCATTACACCTGTACCTTTTCATCGACTCCTTTTCGTCGACCGATCATGGACTGTCGAACGGCTCGTGCTTGTTTGAAAAGCCGTATGAGCATTCCATAGTAAAAGTAGATCATAAAGAGTAAAGGCATGAGATAAGCCTATAATAATGAATGGTACGAAGGTTCCTTCAAACTGCTAAGCTAGTAACTTACAAGTAAAAAACTATAGAGGGTGAAGACGATGAACAAGGTATCACCGAGATCATCTACGCATTTGTATAAATGCATCCTCGTAATGGTTTTTTGTGGTATATCGAATTTCTCATGTATAATTAATTCCTGAAACCGATAATCAAATATCTCACATTTTATTACCAGTAACAATTATTAGTAATATTTCCTTCGACACTCCATGAAGAATACGAACAACTTTTGCGCTTTGTTTAATGTGCGCCATATGTGGACCACTGACGCGCGCGGCTGCGGAGCGGTCTTCCCAGAAACCGAGAAATTATCAAGAAGTGGTACAAACGTAAACAAACGAGGTGACGTAGAAGCCGTTTTTCCCTCTCTAAACGTATCACCTCTCCGCCTCACATCTAGCGAGTTGTTTCAGAGCGGAGCTATGCAACGAAGGGATACATTAGAGAATTACTGGCTAGCAATTATTCACTACAGAACTTGTAATTACCTTTGAAATCCTGTTTGTGTAAAATATGACTAATCCAGTAGTATTCAAAGAAGCAGTTTAATACTTACCTTTGAATGTGCATATAGCAAAATTGGAAATAACAAAATGCATGTGAATAAAAACATAGTACTGAGAAGTATGTAAACGGTTTGATGATTGCGAACGCGGACCTTGAAGAGTAATCTATTGAAACTGGAATATTTAAACTCGAAAGTTCAATCATTACTTGTAATGGATGACAAACTGCACAATATCGATCGATACTGAATGCCACTAATATGAAAGTGCTGAAAATCTTTCCAATATGTTCTAGTAACCGGAAAAGCTTGCACGCAAATGTCCCAAACATCCAGAAACCGAGAATCTGTAAAATTTACATTAGATTGCGTTCATTTTTTGAAATTTCATTTGTATAATAATAATGGGACGCTACTAGTTTGACTTGTCTATTTTATTAAACATTTTTTTATTTTTTGACCTTTTTTTCTGATCGTGAACTACTGCGAGAAACAGCCGTCAACAGAGGGCAGGTTGAAGTAAGTAGTCTCTCACTACTCAAAGACGTAAAATAAGGAGAGATAGCTTTTGTGCATCGATTTCAAAGGTTTTTCGGTAATGAAATCATTAAAATTTACAAAAAAATACGGACCTGGTCGATTATAGTCATAGGAAGAGGCAGCATGCTCAAGAAATCCACGATACACAGTATACATATGTAAGTTAACGTTGTATTGTGTTTTGACCTAAAACTGGCCTTTTTTATCGATTTTCTCACATGTGTACGGGAAGACTGTAACGCTTGGGAACTCATGACCGTTCCTTGAATCGATGTTTGCTGTAATGCCGAGTAATGCCTGGTTCTCCTTCGGTTGACTAACACGATAAAAAAAAAGTTTACAGTTTCCAATATCAGTTCAGGATTAAATTTTCATTCAGGGTATTAATTGAACTATGTTTATGCCGGTGTTTCTCTCGCACCTATTGAATAATATTCAGTGACAGCGGAATGATGAAAGGCTGTGTTGACTAGGGCGCCTGGTTGATCCGGGATTTGGTTC